CCCACTGGAGCTAGAGGTTTTCTTCACTCAGACAGCTCCTGGCTGCTGAGGCTGACAAGCCGAAGGTTGACAAATAAAAAGGCATAGTCCCAATGTTACCAAACCATACAACAGACCATTAACTCAAGTCCATTTTAAGTCCAAGGGTCAGAAGAGCATGGCAGGCTGCTGAACAATGACACAGCTACTTACAGGGTCCAAGCATGCCATATGCTAGAGATCATTCCCCAAGGCCTATGCTTATATACAGGAAGTAGACCACATTCCCTCAGGTAGCTACTCAGCTATTCACAGTAGATTCCATCATAGAGTTGATTACCAATTTCATCATGGGTAATACTACCACTAGCTGCCCAACCATTCAACCAGGCCCAGCCAAATTTAACTACCACACTGATGAACTGAAAATTTAAGTAGTCCATATTCAAAAATCCATACTCTGTATTTTATGCTAGTCCTGAAATTCACTTCATTGAGATTGTCATCATGATCTTACTCCCAATTCCAGGTGAGAGTGCACATTCATTCATCAATAAATACTAACAATTCCCCCACTATGAGCCAAGATTCATTGTCTAAGCATTAAATACTTTGGTAAATAAAAGAGCTACTGCATTTCAGAACTTCCAGTATTATACATCAGATTTCCTTATTGATATACATTATCACTTTTGTCTGGTAAAAGTATTTACAGATACATGGCTAAGACGCTTGCCTGCTAACCAGACAGCTGGCAGTTCAAACCCACCAGCCACTCCTCGGAAGGAAGGTTGGGCAATCCTACTTCCGTAGTGATACTGCCTCGGGAACCCAAGGAGGGGTCACTATGAGTCGGGTTTGACTCAACGGCACATAACAAAAACAACAACCTTAGAAAGATTGCATACACACACACACACATATACATATATATATAATTAACTGCCTCATACATCTAATACTTTTCTCCTTATATTAAAAAGCATACAAACAAAAATTCTTTGCCTCTTTATAAAGAAATGATTTTGTAATATTTTCTATAGTGAGTATAGATTGGATCTTCCTCTATCATATCATCATTAAAATTTGTGAGGTTTTATTATCACACACTGCTGTGGAGTCAGATCCAACTCACAGCAACCCATCCTTGGGTTTCTGAGGTGGTATCACTATGGAAGTAGATTGCCCAACCTTCTTTCTGAGAAGTGGCTGGTAGGTTTGAACCACCAGCCTTCTGGTTAGCAGTCAAATGCCTTAGGTACTATGCCACCATTATTATTATTGATAGTTGAGAAGACTATCTCTCAGTTTTATGATTTATTGGTAATGTAATGTACATTTTGTAGATTGTAGTAAAATGTGATGAATGCTCTATCATTTCTTTACAAACTATAAGATTTCAGGATATTTTCTTGTTTTCTTGTACAGTATCTAATCTTGAATACTGTTTGAATTGTCAACACTTACTAACTGATTTGTAACCGTGTCCTTCTTGTAGTGATATACTATGAGTTCCTATTTTTGTGGATGTCAATATTTCATGACAAATTAACAAGTATTTTAAATTGTTTTCTAATGCATTCAAATTATCCACTCTTCTTCAAATCATTGATTATTAAACCATCCAATAAATGGTATATTACTTCAAATTGAAATTAACTCTCCTTTTTGATGAATTACTGCTTTTGATATGATCTGAAATTTTAGTTGAAAACTCACTTCTCAATGTCAGACTAATTTTTAATGCTTCTATTCTTCATCATCATTGTTTGTCATTACATTAATTTTTAATCTAAATTTTCTCTCAGTTCTTTAATAAATAGATAATAAGATGTCAAAAGATATTCCTCATTTGTTTTACTAAAACTTTCCAATTTAACTTACAGCCAAAATGGCATATTCCTCTCTCAATTTCCCTTTAGCAGGATACCAAGAATGTCTACAGCCACTAAAATTCTCACCCTTGACACAAGGAGTAACGTGATGGGAAGCTGGAACAGAAATAGACAACTGTCTTACCCAATTGTTGTTAAAATACTTTATTTTTTCAAAAATTAACATACAGTCATGATTAACACACAATCATGTGAGCACATGACTGGTCTTAAGTTCACTTTCCCTCTTGTTTCCATTTGCATACTTCCCTCTACTAAGCCAAAGTCTTCTTAATACAGTGTTGTTGCCCATGGTTCATGGTGGCCCATGTACAAAGGGTCACGGGCTGATTTTCAGAAGTAGATCTCCAGGCCTTTCTTCCTGGTCTGCCCTAGACTGGAAACTCCACTGAAACATGATCAGAATAAAAGCAATAAGCAAGTCCCACTAATAGAAAAGTGAGGGTTGTGCTTGACGTGGATTGGCAGGCAATCAGACTGGGGTCACCCTCATGAAAGGCAAGAATTCTACTACTGAACCATCAATATCATCTGATGTATTGCTGGTACTACGTGCTATGAAGTAAATGCTGACTCACACTGTCACTATGTGATAGCGTGGAACTGCCCCATAGGGTTTCTTAGGCTATGTAGCTTTATAGGAGCAAATGATCACGTCTTTTCTCCTGTGGAGCCACTGGTGGGTTTGAATGACTGATCTTTCAGTTAGTAGCCAAATATTTAAACATTGAGTCACCAGGGCTCCCTGATATATTATTACTATCCTAATTTTATAATATGAAGAAACTAAGACGCCAAAAAATCAGTTCTTCCTTAATCTAGACTCATCTTACAGAGAAAACCAATCTTAGCAGAAGTGAAACAACTTTAACAATCAAAACCCTAGTTAGGAATCCTCAGGACTTTGGGGCCATCACTGTCATATCTATACTCATACATTGTTTCTGTGAATAGAGATTCAGGTATGTAGTACACAAACTAAACAGTGTCCAATGGACCTGAAGGGGTTAACACATTTTATAATTATAAAGTGGGTATTTTCATAGACTGAAAGTCTTTTCTTTTTCAGTTTTTATTTTTCATTTCTCAATCTAATGTGCATTAACTTTTAATTGAAAAAAGTAAGTCCAGAACATGGTAAAAATAATATATGAAAAACAGTCTTCTCCCCACTCCACATCTCTCTTGTGCTTGACCCTCTCTCCTCTTTTCTACTTGTCCCTTCCCCAGAAGCAGCAACTACTGCCACTCTCTTTGCTCTCCATCCTGAATATCATTTTTAAACAAATGGGAGTATGTACTATATAATAATGTAATGTGTTAAGTATTCAGCTGTGAAAAAGTCAGAAATATATTCATAGCTAATAATTACAATTTAAAATTTAAAAATCCAAACCTTAGCTTCAGAAAGTGTGCTCCTGTCTCTGAAGCACCTCAATTGTATTTGGTTTATACATGGTAAATTATTTCCAAAAGTATGAAGCACAACTCAAGTGAGCAATACTAATACATTGTTTTCCAATTGAAAATGAAGCCACTGGGAGGCTCTGAGCTCAAAACAAATTTTATCATGGACTTTCCCTCACTGAGTCTTCAGTTCATGGGATGTGATTCAAGCCCTAGCTCAGGGAACTCTGGGAGAGACACAGGAAAAGGTGGAAGTTACTTAGGCACCATTGTTCTGTGTCCAGGCTGGTACATGACCCAACATATGTCATGACCCAAAGTAGAGCTGCTATAAAAGTGTAATTCTCCTTTAATCCCTCCATGTAAATTATCAGAAAGCTTTCCTCCACTGATCCAAACAAATTTGGTCTTGACCTCAGAATTGGTCTCAACAACTCTTTCGGATGGTTGAATTTCGACTGCTTAATGTATGTCAACTATCCTACAATATAAAACTATTTCATGATAGATCTTCACATAACATCACATATGTCCAAAGTCCCAATAATAGTATCTTTATACTATGTAAAATCAGTAGCAACAAGTGAATGCTGATTAACAAAATAATGCACTTTGCTGTACCAAGAGTTGGCAGCTAATACAGTTGGGATTTGCTGAATTGCTCAATCAGGTGCCACCCCTGCCAACTTGCTTTTGATAAAAATTATTGCCCTTGACCCAATGCCTACTCATAGCAGCCCTGTAGGACACAGTGGAACTGCACCATAGAGTTTCCAAGGTTGTAAGTCTTGACGGAAGCAGATTGCCACATCTTTCTCCCTCAGACCAGCTGGTGGTTTTGAACTGCTGACCTTTCAGGTAGAAGTTGAGCACTTAACTACTGTGTAACCATCACTCTTTCTACTTCGTATGGTAACTTCAAAAGTCCTCCAATAAATATCAAATTCTTGAAAGGTTTCTCATGTGTATAACCAGGATTTTTTTTTTCTGGGTCTGTGATTTTTTACATATTTTTAAAAGTAGATCAGTTCAATAATCATAAAGAGATCTAATGCAAACATTCTATTCTGACAATTTTTAGATGCCACAGAGGTACCCCCAAAATTATATTATTCATTTTTCTGGGATAAAAAGGATAATACATTGAAAGCCTTTTAATAACATTATAACTGAAACCTAAACTTTATAATTAAAGCAAAATACTTAGTTAAAAATACTTGGATAATTTCTCAAAACAATTATTTTTCAAGGAGTTTCCATTGTAATTGTGTTTATATTCCACAATTAAAATGGAATCATCTTCAAAATTTTTTCTGTATATATGTACATAGATAAATTCATGCACACACACACATGCACATATATAATTTTAAATTTCTATCTCTAAAATGAAATGAATTTCAATATCTTTTGGCAAGCAGTGTTTAATAAACTGCAATACAGGAAGATATTGTATTAAATATAGTATTAAAAAGTTTTGGTACTTAATAGTTCAAAAAATTTTTTTATTTAATTGAGACCAACTGGCCTCATTGTTTCTTATAAACTTTGCAATATATATTCAGTAAAAAGGAATAAAAATGAACAGATGTTTCTCCTTAAAGAAGGCAGACAAAGATTTTTCTTACGCAATAAATCAGTTGCTAGTGGATTTCCAGTACATTGCTTTAGGCTAACTATTTAGGTATAAAACTGAAAAGAGAAAAAAACTCTATTTACCTCTGTGTGAATCCAAAATTGGTAAAGGAGATTGAATTGAAGATGAACAGCATAAACTGAAGGAGGGATGAAGAGAGCCAGGGGACAGTAGAAAATCTGAAAGATTTTAAAATAAAAAGGCGCTCATATGATTTCTCAGCATAACGGTTTACTAGTATTATTTGTTCAGCATTCTGAGTGCATACCTTATTGTGTACACTTTAATTCCAAGTTTGACTTGGCAACATTGATTTTCCACACGAGGATGAAGTTGCAGACATGTTGGAGACAAGTCCACTGGACTTCTATTTTGCATTTAATATTGTCTAGTTAAAATATTATAGTTGGTATGCTGTTTTTTTAATCTTGAAAAGGGTGGTGTGAAAAGAAGTTCCCAATATTCACACAAATACTTGCTTTAAATAAAGGACATATAAGAGTAAGTGGCTTTATACTTTCACAGTTCTTAAGCTCTGTGCTATTACCTAGCATTTTCAATAATAAAGTGAAATTATAATAAAAGAAAGTAACTAAATATAAGCATAGCAGAACATATATTTTCTCTTTTAAAATCTGTATACATATAGTTGATCTCCTAATTTTTAAAAATAAAAAGTAGAAAGAAATTTTTAAAGTCCCTATTTTCCTGCAGATGGAAATGCCTCTGCCTTGGAAAAGTAACTTATGTTAAACCACAGAACTGGTTGGAGTCAACTAATAACCACAATCTGCTGTGTCTTCCTAATGACTTTGATCCCAGAGAGTGGTTTCAAGTTGGAAGGAAACATTTCATTAAATGAAAAACTAAACATCCAAATCAAAATAAAAGAGATCTGATTTCCACTTTACATTTCTGGTTTTGTATTGTCTGTATTTAGAAAAGACTACTTATTTTAAACATATTTCTTACAAATATAATTTTATGTCTAAATTACCTAAAAATGTTTTTCTCAATTAGGTAAAAGATTATTTCAATGACTGTTTTTTAATGATTATGAGTATGAAATTGGTCATTTACATAAATTCTTCCATTATTTGTTTCTTAATGTAAGTCATGGAAAAACTCAATTGTCAAGACAAGCAGAATATTTTATTGTTAATAACTGGATTGTTAAGTAACAGATCAGATTAGCAAGCAACAAAAGAATATGGGCTATCATTCAACAGATCTGCTTTAAAGCTTTGTTTCCACCACAAACTTTCTAAATGATAGTCAGAAAGTTCTTAAATTTCTTTAGGCTTTGTTGTTGTTATTTGCCATCAAGTCAGATTCGACCCATAGTGATCCCTCCTTGGGTTTCTGAGGCAGTATCACTACGGAAGTAGATTGCCCAACCTTCCTTCCAAGGGGTGGCTGGTGGGTTTGAACTGCCAGCCTTCTGGTTAGCAGTCAAGTTTCCTAAAATCAAAGGTGAAGGGAAAAAAAAAAAAAAAAAACACTTGAAATCTAGCTGCCTTTTGGGTTCCAACAGTTGTTATTTCATTTTATGTATTTAAATTATTCTCCTAATATAGGTTAATATAAATATCTGGAACTCATATATGGCCTTAATTTTAAGTGCTTTAAGTCAAGGGGCGTTTTGGATTCTCTTCTTTGAGATGTGAGGAAAAATGTAAAACAATGTACCTCTAATGCTTAACAAATAGTTTTATTTGGAAAGAGAGCACATACCAAATGAATATATATAACAAAAAGGACCTCACTGCCATCAAGTTGGATCCAACTCATAGTGACCCCTCCTTGGGTTTCCAAGGCAGTATCACTTGGGAAGTAGATTGCCCAATCTTCCTTCTGAGGAGTGACTGGTAGGTTTGAACTGCCAGGCTTCTGGTTAGCAGTTGAATGTTTTAGGCATTACACCATCAGAGTGCCTAATAAACATATATAGTTTTTCATAATTTCTCAAAAATAATTTCTTTCCCTGAGGAATGGAACTCTGGTAGTGTAGTGGGTAAGACATTTGGCTGCTAACCAGAAGGTCGATGGTTCATACCCATCAGCTTCTCAGTGGGAGGGAGATGAGGCAATCTGCTTCCATAAAGATTTATAGTTTTGGAAACCCAATGGGGGTTACTATGAGTCAGAATTGACTTAATGGCAGTGGATTTGGTTTTGGATTATAGAAAAATGTGTTCTATGGTCAAATATGCTTGAGAATTGGTGAGCTAAACAAGTTAATTTTGTTTATTGCAGGACTGTTCAGAACCATTAATATACTAATGCACATCATAAGCCTATTAGTATAGGGAATAGTTTTAAATGAACTTACTTTAGGATTACATTTCCTAAAACACATTTTGTGAAACATTATCTCAAATCTTACAAATTAATAAATATGATGAAAAACTGATCATTAGAAAATTAGTTTATCACGAATTCCAAAATATCAAATTTCTTAGAAGTAATAAAAGTATAGGTCAGGGACTAATTACATAAATCATATGAAAGTTAACTTCTTGAAATTGATTCAGTGTTATAAAAAGAATCCATTGATACAAGCAAGGTTCTAAATTTTTGAGATTTGAAGCAACTTAGTAACTATGGCCCAGGTATGAGAACTCTTGCATATCTTCTCTTCCTCCAATCTTTGTATTCTCAAGTTCTCCACAGCTTTTGCAAACAGTACAAATGCCACTTCCATTATAAAACCCCTAATGAAACTAACTTAATAGAAGAAATTTCTGCTTCCTTCAAATTCAGCTCCTCAGTCAGGAATCATTAATACTATTTACTACATATATTCATTTCTACCATGCTGTCAAACTCATGTATTTATGACTCTATCACTTTTCCCTTAAATTACACCATGCACCTGAGGATATTTTATTATCTTAAGTTAGACTCATAAAGGAAAGAAGGACCCAGAACTATATATGTGGGAGAGGAGAATTAAAATGAAATTAATAGTGACCTTTTGGCTAACAGATAATAGGTGACTAGATATATATTCTGTTCACCAAGTGAATGCAGCAGCCTGAGTTGTGTAAGTTGGCATTCAAAAGAAAGAAACATGGTGTTTAGGGACAAATATAAGTACTTCAGCACTGCTGAAGATACTGAAGAGTTACCTGTGGCAAGAGATTGGGCTAGACCACTGGCTTTTTGGACAGACCTCAGGGAGTCTGTAAACTCTATGACATCGCTACAGCAACATGAAAAAAATAATGGCATCTAACAGAAGCAGTAGCCATGAGGATGGTGAGGCAGAATAGGTAGAAGAGGTTAAGAATTTGGAAACTATCTATATGTAGGTGTTGTAATGGATAGAGAGGAGATTCAGAAGACACTCAGATTTCTGGCTTGGACAATTGTGTATTGGGTGGTACTATTAACCAAGATGGAGGGGTGGGTAGGAAGAATAGGTTGTAAATTTGGCATTAGTATTAATAGCAATGTTGCATTTGAATCCTTCAGGGATATACCAGGGAATTGATTGAGTAAGGAGTTGAAAATTTGTGTCTGAAATGAGGAAGAAATCTGAATTTAACTTACATATATGAGGGTCATGGGAGCTCTGGTAGCATAGTGGCTAAGACACTTGCCCGCTAACCAGATGGCTGGCGGTTCAAACCCACCAGCCACTCCTCGGAAGGAAGGTTGGG